CAAACCTCAAACTCCATCCCAGGAAATGCCTCTTGCTCCAGAAAGAGGTGCGTTACTTGAGTCATATTGTAAGTGAGCATGGTGTGCAAACTGATCCTGACAAGGTGAAAGTAGTGCATGATTGGCCAACACCAGACAATGTGGCATAGTTAAGAAGTTTCTTGGGACTCTGTACCTATTACCGGAAGTTTGTGAAGGACTTTGCAACTATAGCTGCTCCACTAAATGATTTAAGAAAAAAAAAGGCCAGAAGTTCGAATGGACAGTTTCCTGCCAGTATGCTTTCAAGACATTGAAAGAAAAACTGGCCTCACGTCCACTTTTAAAGCTTCCAAATCCCTCACTGCTGTACATACTGGATTGTGATACAAGTAATGTCGGAATTGGAGGAGTGTTGTCCAAGAAATTGGACGAAAACGAACATGTGGTGGCCTACTTTAGTAGGGTCCTAAGTACACCAGAGAGGAACTACTGTGTAACACAGAGAGAACTCCTTGCAATAGTAAAGAGTCTGACATATTTCCATCCTTATTTCTATGGCACCAGGTTTACCATCAGGACAGACCATGCTGCATTACGCTGGTTAAGATCATTAAAGAACCCAGAGGGACAACTGGCACATTGGATTGGAAAGATAGACCAGTATAACTATGATATTGAATATAGTGAAGTAAAATCTCATGGAAATGCAGACAGACTGAGTTGAAGACCCTGCAAAAATGACTGCAGACATTGTTGCAAAAGAGAGGTTGAACTAAACAGGTGCCATCAAGCTGAAGTCAAAGTGACTGAAGGAGTTGATGATGGTAAAGTGGAACCAGGTATAGATATTAAAGCAGAACAGGAGAAAGACGAAGATTTGAAGACAATAATTGATTTTCTAATAGCAAGTGTTTTGTGCCCTGCTTGGGAGAAGTTGTCTAGCTTCAGCCCTGTGAAAATGAACTATTGGCCACAATGGGACCAGTTGAAGCTTGAAGATAGTATTCTTGTCCGGAATGGGAAACTGCAGATGGGAAAGTGACGACCTGGCAAACAGTTATACCGAGAAATTTACGGGAAGTTGTGCTGCGCCAATCCCATGATAGTTTAACAGGAGGACATCTTGGAGTTAAGAAGACATTGAGTCACCTACAACAGATATTTTACTGGATAGGTATGAGGCAAGATGTGGAAGAATGGTGCAGGACCTGCAGTACATGTAGTGCTAAAAGGGAACCCAAGCATAAAGGATGTGCTCCAATGAAGTTATATCAAGTTGGCACACCAATGGAAAGAGTAGCTGTTGACATTGCTGGTCCTTTGCCCCAAACTCGTACTGGAAACAGGTACATTTGTGTGGTGATGGATTATTTCACCAAGTGGCTGGAGGCACATGCAATACCAAATCAGGAAGCTACAACTATAGCTTCGGCTAGTAGTGATTTCTTCTTCAGGTTTGGTATGCCATATGAACTGCATTTAGATCAAGGCCGTAACTTTGAATCAGCTGTGTTCCATGAATGCTGCAAGTTGTTTGGCATATGAAAGACCTGGACAACGTCACTTCACCCACATTGGCAAAGTTTTGTAATAGTCGCCAAGATGACTGGGATGTCTTACTCCCCCTGCTGTTGATGGCCTATAGAACAGCAGAGCATGAAGCCACTGGATACACTCCAGCAAAGCTGATGTTTGGTCGGGAACTTTGGTTGCCAGTGGACCTGATAACAGGACGCCCACCTTACGAAGAGTTGCCTGAAAATGTGCCAGAGTTCATGAAAGTGTTATCTGAAAGGATGGATGATATTCACCATCAAGTGCATTCAAACTTGAAAACGTCTGCTGATTCCATGAAGCTATGTTATGAAAAGAGATCTACTGAAGTCAGCTTTGTACCAGGAGACAAGGTGTGGTTGTATAGTTCCAGGAAGACCAAAGGCAAGTCAAATAAGTTGTCTTCTCCATAAGAAGGCCTATATGAAATAGTGGATCGTCTCTCAGACGTGACTTTCCGAATAAAATGTGGTGAGCGAGGTAAGCCAAAGGTGGTGTATGCCAACAGGATTTGGCGTTATCAGGGTCCAGGACATTCCAGTTGGAACAAATGATGCTACTGAAGATGTGTCACCTGAAAAAAGCCACTGTTGAAGAAGAAACTCTACTCAGTTTTGAAAGGGAAAATAGTGAAGCCGTTAATGAAGTTACTACCACTGATGCGACTGTTACCAATAATAGAACATTTCCTGATGGAGCTGATGATATTTATGTGAAGCAGAAGCCAACGAGATGGAGACCAGTACGGAAGAATATACATTCCGTAAAATTAAGAGTCTTTGTTGAATTTTAATTTTGTGTTTGTAAATTCTGTCCATTTAATTAAGTTATTGTTAATTATCTATTGGTTTAATGTAAGTAGCTAACAATACTAAGGAAGGGGCAGTGTTATGACAGCGGAAGTCACGTGACGCTGCTGGCATGATGAGTTTCTCGAATGATCGGGAAGTTCGAGATGCCACCTTCGTTAGTATATAAGCCTGGCAGGGAAAGCCAACACGAAAATGAAGAGAGAGCAGTAGTTGCTTTGAGTTGCGAGTTAGTGAGCCGTAAAGTGTGTGTTTTGTACTCGTCAAGAGCGAAGTTATCGAGATTGTGAATCGCTGTGATTTATAGCATG